GATCTGACACAGAGATTGAAATGTTAAAGCCAAAATTCAGATTTGAGTGCTTAAAGTTTATCAGTTAAATCCATGTTTAGTCACCCACAAAAGTGAACTGATTTTCAGAGGTGTCAAGCATTTGGAGCTCTTGTTGGTTTAAGCAGGTACTCAGGTTTGAAAAAGTTGGTCTTGGAACACTGATGGTGCTACATAAATAATATTCCTTTCAGTTCACACAGGTGCAGGGATGTGCCACCGCTATTCTCAGTGCAGTATCAGAACCTAAGAATAATTCTTATTTTAGGCCCCAATCTTGCTCAGTGCTGACCCAATCCAGCAAAGGGTTTAAGCATTATGTTAAAGTACTGAACACTGAGCACATGAGTAGTTGGGACTATTAACATGCTTAAAATTAGGTTCATGTTTAAGTGTTTTTCAGAACTGAGCCTCATGAGAAAATAGTGGAAAAGAATACCAAAGTATTTGCAATCAAATTCAGTTATATAGCATTGGAAATAGTCATATTTAATGTACATCAAAGAGTTCAACTTTTAAATCTAGTGTGTGTGTGTGTTTTCAATAAACCAGCAGAGCAAACAGGAGAAAAAATATTTGAAGTAATAAACCTCTATAAAACAATTTATTGGGTATTTGTTTTCACAGTAAGAAATAAAGGGCAAAAAATGCCTTTTGCAGTTGGATGACTTTCTTTCCCTTTGTTACATTTGAATTGGGTTGACTCACAATCATTTTTTGAAGAAAAAAAATGTTTTTATGTCAGCATGCAAGACAGAGTTGAGTGAGTACAAAGAGTTGCATGAAAAACAAAATAAGCACAAGCCCTGCTTTTTCCAGGTTCTGAAAAGGTAACTGCCATACTACATGGTGTTAACTGTCCAGTTCATGTGCCCCATTTTGTACCAGTACATTTCTTCTTATATTTTATTTTTTAGTTTCTAGATTAATTCTAGCTCACTGACTTTTTTTTAAAGTTTGCCATGAGAAATATTTTTGCAGAATTTTGCTATCTTGTGGGGGGTGGTGGTGAAGAGAATCCTGTCTCACTGCAAAATTGCATAAGCAAAAGCCAAGCATTTCACCTTCTTACCTTTCTTATATGAAATGTATATAAAAGCAGTGTGAATGAGAATTTCCAGCTGAGATCACAAACTGGGAAAGATCATAAAGCGTATTTAAAATAAATTTAGTTTTAGTTTGGATACAACAGCAGAAAACTGGAATGGTGGGAAGATCACGTTATTGCTTAAAATACATCAATTTATTTGTCATTAGTATTTATTATTTGCTTAGCACCAGTGTGTTTTATGTTGTACAATAGATAAAATAAAGTCCATCTGTCCCCAAAAAGTTTATAGTCCCACAAACAGTTACTACTGGGAATAGTACTTACTACTGTGAGTAGCCCTACTGAAGTCACACTAGTCTTATATTGACTATTCTCAGTTACAGGTCCTATCACCTGAAGTAAATGTTTGCAAGACTGAGCCCCAACAGATGGACAAAATATGGGATGCATTGGGAAATTCAGAGATTGGGATAACTTAGTAACTTTCTTGTTTGTTTTCTGCCGATTGGATATTAGGTAAAATTCTACAGCAAAGAGAAAGAGAGAGACCAGTAATCTTTAGATATCTCACTTTACAATATGCCCTTTCCAGTTCTGACATACAACAGACTTGACAGACTAAACAGAGTACTTCACATTTGACTCTTAGAAAATTCATTAGGGATGAAAACCTAAAACATTAATAATAATAGTTTATTACTACTTGTCAGAAATTTAGCTTGTCATGTTCTTGATTGTAAAACAGCAATGTAAATGTATAATTTATCCTATCCCTTTAAGGGTCCAACAAAAACATAACGAGGTAGTTTTTCAGATTGTGTAAGTTGTATTCAATGGAGCTATGACAATTTATACCAGCTGAGGCCAATATTTTCAAAGTACAGGTATGGGCATTACTTTAGGCAAGTCCAAACCAAAAGGCTAAATTGTGGGTTCCAAGTTGTGGATATTGAAAAGAACTCCTTTAGCTCTCCTCTCAGTTCCCACTCTTTGCCAAAAGACCCTTCTTCCCTAAGGTTGGTTGATTTGTCCCACAACAGGTCATTCTTATTAGGGGAGGAGGAATTAAAACAAACTTGTCAAATACAAATAAGGCTCCAGAGAAATTTCTGCTAAAGACCAGTTTAAATGCCAAAAGATTCATATTACTGCACTGGAAGACATCCTTAGCATTAAATTCGGCATTAGCAGATTTAGCCACTCTTGAGTAGGGGGAAATCCAACTGTGACACTATCATGGAAAAAATGGTTCCATTTCTGGGAAGTCTTTGATTAATAAAGTTATTGTTCTCTTCCCCCGCCCCCTAAGCTTTTACATGGTATGTATAAGTGTTGTTGAGGTTATTTAAGTGGAAATAAATCAGTGTGTATTTTTTGAATAGATTATTTTAAAGTTACTGTATATTTTTTATTCTCTCTTATTAGTCTGTCTTAGGTATTATGGTAGGGTGGTCAGGTGCCCGGTTTTCGACCGGAAAGTCAGGTTGAAAAGGGGACCTGAGAGTGTCTGGTCAAATCTACTGACCGGAGACTCAAAAGTGCAGTTACTGAGGGTGGGAGGTGGTGAGGTGCTGGGTCATCACACTCCAGCCCCTACTCAGCCAGGGTCGCCTCCTACCTATGTTGGGTGGCTGCAGCTTCCAGCCCTGGCTCCGCAGGCAAGTTCCTCCTGACCCAGGCAGTCGGGGGAGAGGCGGAGGAGGAGTCGTAGGAGAGGAAAGCAGTGAGAGAATGGGGGAAGGGAAGAAGAGGAGTGGACTGGGTGGGGCCTCGGGAGAAGAGGCAGGGCCTCTGGGGAAGGGGCAGGGCAGGGCTTTGGGCAGGAGAGACAGGATGGGGTGGTGCCTCGGGGAAAAGAGGCAGGGCAGGGGATGTTCTGGCACTCTGCTGGAGTTCTGGTTTTTAAATAATACCAAGCTGGCAACCCTATACTATGGTGAAGGGGATCCTATAAGTACCTATGTGCCTTACATTATTTAATGTGCGTATTTGTCCTCAACACTCCTGGTAAGCATTATCACCATATTTTACCAATAAAGAACTGTGTCACAGTGAGTAACTTACCAAAGGGAAGTCTTTGGGGGAGCATGGAATTGAACCTAGGTCTTGAGTCCCAGACAAATGCCCTACCACTGGACCAACCTTTCTTTCTTCAGGATATCTATGTTTTAATTGTAAGTGTAACTCATTTAAACTATGTTTGGAAAAAACACACAAAAAAGTACTCATTCACATTCCTAGCTATTGTTGTAAATCATAGTCTTTAAAATGCAGTTAGACACAAAGACAAGGTGATGAATGACAAGCAGAGCTCTAAATGAGATATGGGTATATGAAATACACAGTTACATCTACATCTAAAATAATCAATATGCAAGGATGTAAAATGCTGTAGCCTTTGTTTGATAAACAGATTGAACTATTTTCCTTCCCTGTCTCTTCCCTCCTTCATTAAATTCAATTTTAAAAAATGCTGGCCACGGAAACCTGTCCTCCTCACCCCCTGCTACAATTTTTGCCAAGGTGGAAAAATTAAAAGTGATAGTCATGGTTTTCGATTCAATAAGAAAAAAAATAGAAAGTGAATTTATTACAATGCTTGCTGATAGCTCCATGTGAAGCAGAGCATAATTTGGAAAATTAACAGGCGCCTCAAGCCAACCCACAAAATTCTCCTATTCCTTTGGCTATACATCCCTGTTCCTATCTATCTTACACAGGTGTTGTGAGGCTTAAAATCAGTTCATGTCTGTGAATTGCTCTGACATCACTGGATGTAAGGTACTGTAAGGGCTAAATATTATTTAGTATTATTAGTATTTGTTAAGTGGTTGTATGATCACAAACTACAAAGGCGGGAGGGATAGCTCAGTGGTTTGACCATTGGCCCACTAAACCCAGGGTTGTGAGTTCAGTCCTTGAGGGAGCCATTTAGGGATTGGGCAAAAAAAAATTGGGGATTGGTCCTGCTTTGAGATGATCTCCTGAGGTCCCTTCCAACTCTGATATTCTATGATATGCTAATTCTTAGCAATAGAGCCCTTCTTTCCTTAGCCAAAACAACAACTAAATTGGCTTACTTACTTTTCACTTTGGGGAAGGGATTCATTACATCTTATCTGCATTTAAGGGAGATAACAAAATAGAATTCCTGTATGTGAGCAACACTTATTACTTCATAATATACCAATATGAAGCTTAATTAAGTAAGTTTCTAAACTTCACCAGTAGGAGGCAGTTATTTACTTTTTAGTTTAGTTTCTGTTTTGTTCGCTTGAGAAATACTGTAGTAATTTACTTGGGCATACTCTACTCTCAGTCTTTACACATGGCCACTTTGGACTTCAAATAGTTTTAGCTCTAACTATATTTTCTACAACCTTTATAACATTCTCCTGCATTCCAAAATAAGAACTTTGTTTCAAATTTTATCAGATTTAACATTTCATCTTTTAAAAAAAATTCATCTGATACTTTAAACAAGTACTTCTTTCACTTTTAATGGTTTCCTAGCACTCAATATCAAATGGCCTAAATTGTACTGAGAGATATTAAATGCAAATTTCATAACTAAATTTAGAATTAGATTAATTTATTGTCATCAATAAAGCAAAAAATACCAAGCTAGTGAAACAGCTATTTAACCTTCCTTAATAGCAGAGGAGTTGTATACAATGCTTTGGATCCACGTGTGGAACTTCCACTGCTCTCAGTCGTAACTATGTTGCCATTAAGACTCGTATGGTTCCAAGTATACAGGAAAAAAAAATAGTTCCAAGGTAGTATCTCCTGCCCCAAAGAAGGAATCAACATTACCACAGAATTCGTCATTCAGGTATTATTTTTCATGTATACCCTTCAGCTTTATATAAAGTCTTATTTCAACAGATTGTTTTGGCAGGTTGGCACATCAGTAAATGAAGATACTTACAGGTCCTTTTATTTGAGATGCACTCTCAAATTCATCAGCATCCTCCATCAGTGTTTCCACCCCAGGCACTGAAGCTGTTCCAAAGAGGTAGAAAAGTAGTAATGTCACATTCATCTAATTAATTAGAGTATAATGAATCTCATAGAAAATGTAAAATCTGTAAATTAACTGCCAGGATGGTAAATGTGACTACAGAACAAGTGTTGGGTTTAAGTTATACTTTGTGTAGATTTTAATGCATGTCTAGGTTTGAGCTCAGTTACTGTGTGTGAATAATGGCTTGGTAGAATGTGGGAGAGTATTTCTAAATGGATTAGGGTGACAAAGAACTAAATATAGCTGCCAAGATGTCTGCAGCTTATTATTTTTACTATTAGTTTAACTATTAAAACAAAATCCTGCTTGTCCTTTAGTGTGTACAGTAGCACAGTTAAGCAGCTTTAATTTAACAAACCAATTTAGACTCCCACTGGAGTGCTGTTAAAAGAGAACATCCTTGGAAAACAGAAATGCTAGCAGTCTTAGAGGGTAATATTCAGAAACCTTAAAGTATAAGAATTGTTTTCCATTAACATTAAGAGACAAGTGTCATTAGAAATTAAATTATACGCTGAATTCTGCATGGACTTATATCCCACATACACCTCTGCTTCATTAATTTCAGCCCTGAATTTGGCCATAACAGTCTCAGATGAAATAGTACGTACATGTTTAAAACTAAGCACATCTACCCTACTTATGCTAATAATTAACACCCCTCATTTAAATACTTCTTCCAATACATCAGAATGCCAACCTGAAAATTTTTAATAGATCTACTGTTTACAGGAAAAGAGTTTATAGAACATTCATTATAGCCTTTTTAAACACTCCTAGTTAGAAATCATTTGTTGGTTAATTACATGGAGCAGAAAATAGAAACCAATAATGTATAGGAAAAGGGGATTGTAATTTTCACAACAAAGAATTGTTTGTATAATAAATAGACAGCTAAAGTTGATTAAACTCACTAATTACACTATATCACACAACATAATCTTTACCCCAACACAATAAACCTATAAATACCGCATACGTACTGTGTATAGCAACATTTATACTATTTTTCTTCTTTTCAGAGTGTTTCAGTTAAAACTGCCAAAGGAAACAAATTCCCTCCTGTACCTTGGACATTTATGCAGCTAAGCGCCATATCGTGAAGAATCTCATTTTACATTATACTTGTATCAACTGCAGCAATATTTTAGCACTAGATGCTTCCCATAACAATTCATGCTCTTTATTTCTTTCACCTTAGCAATTTGTTCTCTAGTACAACTTTTGTATTTGATTCCCCATGAAAGCATGCACTGACTGTAAAGATATGTTTCAATTCAAGATGATATTTTTCATTACAGTTTTCACATTTAGGGCCTGTTCTCCCTGGTTTCATGGGGACTTCTTGCAGAGTAAGGTGCACTTCTTTACATGAGGGGGCCAGGATCACACCCTTATTAGTTGTTAAGTGAATGCTTTAATTGCTGCAGCAAGTATTCCTCAGTATTCAAGCTGAAAAATCGCAAGCTGGGGGGGAGGGGGGGAGGGAATATTGCTTCCCCAACAGCAGATAGCATTGTGACAGCAATGGGACTCCTGTGGTCCTGCTGCAGAGCAGACGAGGAATGCTTTGCAGAGTGTTTTCACCACCATGGACCCCAGCTGGGGACATGCCAAGAAAAGAGCAGAGGCTGGGGTAGTGAATCCATGACAGACCTGTGGAGGATCTGCTTCTCCCCACCCCTAACCTCCATGGAAATTCCTGTAACATAACCTAGGGACACTCAGGCTGTTTGCTGTGAGCAGTATTTGGTACTGAGCTATTAAATTCCTCTCCTTATCATTTTTAGTGAAGATATATGGTTCCATGCAAAGATAAGAGTTGATTTATAACATTATTACAAAAGTCTTGTATTCTAAAATCTTAATACTGAGGGTCTAATTTTATTAACATTAGATTAGATCATCCATGAATCCATTTAATTCAACAGGGTTATGCTAATGTAAAACCCACATAGTAGAAATCAAAATTAGGCCCTGAATTCTCAGTGAACCTAGTTTAGTGCCTAATGCTGCAGCTTTTACTCACATAAGCAATCCTGTCACGAATCATCACATTGACTTCAGTTGGCTGAATTGCATGATCCTGGATTATTCATGAGTATGGGTTGCTAGACCAGATATTTAGCGAATTCATTCTAAACCCAATACATTCTAAAATGTACAAGAGAAGTATTCCAGATCTAATAAGTTAACATCATGCCCACTATCTAAGTAGCAGATCACTATCCAAAAACAGAGGCATGCACTTTAATTTTGCTAAGCATCAGCACTGTGCTTGTGTATTCTGAATCAATGGTTAGCATCAGCATTTCTCAGTATATAACTCTTCTCTCAGCAGGGAGTACAGCATGATTAGCAGTGATAACTAAGAACAGAAAATAAACTCAAATTACATTGGACAAGCCTGATTTAAAAAAAAAAAAAAACCTAGCAGAAAGGTTTATCTTATGATGCATTCTCATAGGATGTAACTAAAAATTGGAAATGTATTCAAATAGCTCTGCTTAGTATTGTAGGAGTTTTCCAACAGTATTTAAAAGATTTTCTACTGTTTGGAGATGATTATCACCACATATGCAATACCAACTGCAGGGAAATATAAGATATGGAGAAATCAGGCTGTACTGTAAATATAGTAAAGATTGATCGGCTGGGCAGCTATGAGTTTCATGCCTATTTCTGGATTGTGCCTCCTTATGAAAGAGTCATTTTTCAATCAAAATATATTGCTAGTCAACACTTTAAGAAAAAAACATTTTAAGAAGAGAATATTTTGCCCAGGGAATGCCATATGAGGCAGAACATTTCTCAGAGAAGCCCTTGTTAAAATTTTGGCAGTACATGACTGCTGCCATCTCTCCTCTTCCCTGGAGGCTATATTTTTTGTCTATCTGGGTTGTGGGTTGTTACTGTGCAGCTCCTTGTGCACAAGAGGCAGATGTGTGTGGGGTAAGGTGGGGGTCCCTGCCCCACTTGCCTGCCAATTACTGAGGAAACCTGCTCCCTCCTTCTCTTTTAAGTATCTTTGGAGAGGAAGCACAAGATTTGGGGATGTCCTCAATTCCTCCAAATGCCCATCAGATGCAGGAGTCTCCATCCCATAGCAGGAGTGTTTTGTCATAGAGTCATAGACTTTAAGGCCAGAAGGGACCAACATGATCATCTAGTCTAACCTCCTGCACGTTGCAAGCCACAGAACCTCATCCACCCTCTCCTATAATGGACCCATAACCACTGACTGAGTTACTAAAGTCCATGTTGCCCACCTTCTGCTGCTAGCACCATGCATGGCCCTGAAGGGGGCAACTCAGAGTAGCCCCACCTGGCACACATCGCAAAATGTTCAATAAAAGAAATCAACTTTGGGGAAAGGCAATATTATCTACAGTAGATTTCAGTTGAGTAAGACATATGCTAATTTTTATGGGTCCAATGGAGATATCCTTCTGTGACAGCATGGCAGAGTGCATTATTGGTTTGGGACAAGGGTGTTTGGGCAGGGAGGAGGAGAGCTAACCTCCAAACAAAAGCGCAATTTTCTATTTAGTGACACATACTCAGTTACAAACGCTGACACTCACTGTTTGCAAAATGAGGGTGAGGAATGAGGCAACAATTGAAGACTATCCAAATACCAGCAGAAGATTTAGGTTGCTATTGTCTCCAGTTATACAGGAGGGCAGACATTCAGTGAAATAAGTAAAAGTAGATTTGTTACAGTCCACAGTAGTTCTGTTTTGTTTTGCTTTTATTACCAGGCTCAAAAATGGCTTAACTGATGGGTGACTGATAAAATCCAAAAAGATCCACATCAAAGTTGTTTACATCTAGACATTTTGTACCCAAAACTGTTCCAATCTGAGGGGCTACCTCCTTCCCCATGACATAACTGCTGTAGCTGAGATCAGGCTAGACCCCCCCCCATTGGTATGAAAGTGAGAAGCCTGCTGGCAGACCATTCACAAAAAGGCCCATTTCCACTTTTCCCCATCCTGGCCCAAAATAGCCCAAACTTGTCCCAGGCACACCACAAAGCCCATATGTTGGTGTGGGAATTAGAGGAGGGCTCAGACAGTTGGAGGCAGGATTTCTCTTGGGAGAAAAATGTAGGTTGCCTGCTCACTGCTGATTAGTATGATCTCAATGCACAACCCTAATCATAGAAGTACTACTGCTCTTTTGAGCTATTGCATAACTCATTTTTATTGTCAAGGATGATCAGTGCTGGACAAGCATTTTTTGGTGTGGAGTTTAAATCTAAATGTATTTAATTATTTTTTGACTACAATATATTATTTGACCCCACTATTTCTTCATTATTATGTTTTGCTGTGAAGGGCAGCAGCACATATATTGTATAACTTACCATTGGAATCTGATGCCGCTTGCTCAGTCATCTGAGACACTAGTGAGACATCCTCTGCCGTTTCTGCCAAGTTACCTCCTTGCAGTCTAAATGAGGAAAAACATGTATGTAAACATTATGTAATATAGATTTCTGAATTGTCCTTTCTGAATTGACCTGTAGATATGAGACTGGGGTACTTTATTTCTGGCCATATCCAACCACTTAACATTCCAAATATTAAAGGACAATATTAGCTAGAAAATAGATATTCATGATTCAAACATGCAAACTTTCATTATCCACATTATAGCCTTCTCTGCCCCCTGCTTGAGTTCTTACACCTCTGTGCCCTGACACCTCTGTGCAAGGAAAACCTGTTCAGACTGGCTAGCAACAAGATTTAGTCCTCCAAAGCCTAGAATGGCCAGGAGGAGACACTGACCAATCGGGAGCTAGCTGGCCAAGTTAAGAAGGCTTGCCTGGTTCGTCTCAGGGGGCAGTTCTGAGTGAACGTGGGAAAGAAGAGGAGCTCCTCAGTGCTAGCCCAGAACCCAGGGGCAAGGTCAGAGCCTTGCCTTCAGGCACCACCACTAAGTGCTTTCCTTTGAGTTTTGTTTGTTTATTTAAAGGCACAGAAAGCTAAATTAAGAATTTATTATTTTGTTACTTGACTGTTTCGAGGATGATGCTAAACTGATGGCACAGCCCACCCTGCTTCAAGCTTCAAGAACTTGTGGACTAAAGCAGGGAGTGCCTGCAGTGCCATGGATGGCCCTGAAGGGGACACTACAGAGGAGCGCCATCTAGCACACATCCCAAAATGTTCAGTAAAAGAAACTGACCCTGGGGAAAGATTCAACTGAAATCTCCCGTACATAATCTTGTAAGACTTGTGCTAATATTTATGGGTCCAATGGAGATATCCTCCAGTTGGGGATATTGCCTTCAAATGTCTTGATATGCTACTAAGTGCTTAATGTGAATTTGGGGTTTTTTTATAACCCATTTAAACCAATCAGAAGCATCTCTCTATATGTATTAGAGAGACAAGGTGGGTGAGAGCTTGAAAGTTTGTCTCTTTCACCAACAGAAATTGATCCAGTAAAAGATATTACCTCACCCACTTTGTCTCTCTAATATCCTGGGACAGACATGGTTACAACACCACTGCATATTTTCAGTTATACTTTTACAGAAGAGAAAATGTGTGTAAAAGCACCTTCTTTTTTCAGTTCCCTATGCTTTCCTCTTTGCGTCTACAGACTGCAATCAGTGTCTCAGCAGCACTTTTTAGGAATAAGTGCCCTTTTTCCTTATGTTTCTAATCAAGTGCTTAGATGAGTCCCACTGGCCCTCTTCAGGCTCCTCTGAACCCCGAGTCTTGTTTTCATCCTTGGGTAATGATTTGCAGCACTTAATCGCATATAAATGTCAATTATCTATAGTTAATCTTAAATGGAGTGATGTTTATTAGAACATGGAGAATATTAAAAAACAAATTTAAATTGAATGCATTTAGCAGAGTCTAGGAACTACAACGTTCTAGCTCACTGGAACAAAACCTTGAGGTTACAAGCACAGAATCATATCTAATTAAACTCTACAAGAATGTCCCTCTCTCTCTCAGTGCTCACTCCCTCACTCTGTCATTGTCTCACTCTGACCTGGTTAATCCAAGCCATTCTGCTCTTTTTCTTACTGGCTGGTTTTCATTTCCAATCTCAAAGTAATCTGAGGTCATACAGCTATTCACCCTCTCCCCAACACCAGTTTGGCGACTTTGTTTCTCCTCTTGTAACATTTGGGTTGTAAGTTATCTTCTCTTTGTCTATTGTTTTCTAGAAGATAGCATCTTTAGCCATTATTTTAATGATTTTGCCCTTATCACCTTTGTGATAGTTTTTGTTCATCTCATAATGCCCAATACAAATCCATGAAAACTTTCATTTGAAGTTGCTCCAGACGGTAAGAATATAACATTTAGAAATATCATTAGGGCTATTTAATGGCTTCAGTGGTCTCCAAAACAGAAGCTCCATAAGTATCCCGGGTTCTGCTTCAGCTATTCTGAACTCAAGTGTTTTCCATTTGGAGATAGGTGCATTTTCAGAAGTGACTTTGGTACTTAGGAGCCTAAGTTCCAATAACTTTCAATGAGACGAAGGCTCCTAAATCAGTTAGGCTGAGCAGAGCAAAGATCTGGGCCCCTAGTTCTAGGGCTATAGTAACTTCCATTTCCTGAAGCAGTTGCTTTTCCAATAGGGCAAGGAGAAGCAACATGAGAACAGGGATAAGGATTGATCAAAGACAAGTTTGATTGGTCTTCACATCACCAACCAAATAGCTCTGCTCCTCCTGCCTGAACAGTAGATGAGTTGTCCGCTTCACCCCCTTACACAATGAACTGATTTTGTTCACGAATAGGCCACTTGAGTATTGTCCTATGCTATCTCTTAGGACATATGCCCCATAGAAAGGTACACAAGGTCTCTGCTCAGGACTAAACATTCAGAGAACCATTCCATAGGAGTTTTTGTATGGAAAAATATTGTTTGTCATAATCTGGATTCCATTCCAGCATGCAACAATGTATTTATTTAAATATATCTGACATGTTGACATATATTAAAATGGATTTTCGTTTTGTAAAGTTAAATAAATATACATTAGATTTACCAAACTCTTCTTAAAAGGCTAAAAAGGAGCTCCTACATATCTTCACTTATTGAGTGCTAGGATTAAACAGATTCTTTTCAAAGTTTTTATTGCCTTCATTTTCGATTTTTAGTGGTTTTGGTAAACACAGACATCATCCTTATACAATATGTTTTAAATTTTATTGTATATCTCAAACTACTGAATCAAACTACACAGTACCTCAGATCACAGATGAACTCTGTCTCAGTTCCTCCAAGAAGGCATTTCTATCTAATCTACTCTATTTCTTTGCATTTCTAAGTGTTGCTCCCATAGTATTTAGATGCCACACACTAAATTATGAGTAGCATCACATTTGAAAAAAGGATCAGATCTGCTACTCCTTTCTTGGTTTATGCTGCTTTCCTGTTGATTTATTCTTGCTGAACGTCTTCTAAGGGGAGCTATGTTGCATCATGCTGCAGCCACTATTAGCATGGGAAGCACTGCACAAAGACCTCTGTTAATTCTTTAGGATCTGATACTGCAAAGGGATTGGCATGCGTAGACCCTTGATTTTGCATGCAGTTCCACTGACTCTGATTCCACACAGGACTCTTCAGTATAGGGGTCTTAAGCCCTGATTCTCTTTGCCCTTCATCTTGCATAGTCTTTTACACCAGTGCAAAGGGGATATAAAATAGTACCAGTCTGATTTGGTAGCATTTTACAATCGCTCTGCACTGGTGTAAATGATGACATGGGTGCAGGGCAATGGAGAATCAGGCCCCTTGTCTGCAAAGCATCCAGAAAGTGAGGAACCCCTAACTAGTAAATACTTCTGAAAATTGTGCTTATCTGACAGTGTGTCCTTTTAAATCTAATTCAGGTAACAAGACCTTTCTGAAATAGCTGGCTGCCCTCTGGTGTTACACGTTATTTTCTTTAATGTGGGTCAATACTTGATTCCTAATATCCAATATTTTTCCACATCCACACTATCTGTACAGTGATCTCCTACAGTAGAGGTGATTGGTATAGTTTTGTGAAATCAGCTGCATTTGGGTCTCCGAGAGAGACAAATGTAGATACTTCTACTGTATCTAGGCACGCAATGCCATTTCCTTGGGCCCAGTTGTTGCCTCTGCTAAAGCATGTGGTGGCGGAGGCATTCCTTAAGCACCTTACTCAAACCTTTATCTATCCAGAACCAGAGGATACCAACCTGGTGCTACCATCCCCCTGCCTCTCCTGGGACCAAGCTGAGGAAGGGTTCTGGAAGTTGGCCTGGAGGCAAAAGGGAGTGGGAGTCCCTATTCTCTATGGCAACACCCCCTGGCCAGCCTGGAGATTTCTGTGCAGAAATTACAGTGTTATTGCTATTCTAAACTGCTGTGCTAAGCTTAACTTCTGTGGAACCCCTATGTGGTTGCAGCTGCAGATGATGTAAACCAAGGCAGGATTTGGGCCATAAAATGTATTGAGAAGTTGTAAAAAATTCTGAACTGCAGCATATACAGCAATTTGTATAAATATACAAGAATTATTACTTCTCAGATTATGTACAACTAAGGGCCCAGTCCTGCAGTACTTACACAAGCAAAAGTCCCAGGGATTCCAGGATCAAGGTTTGCCTAAATAAGGACTATGAGATCAGGCCTGATAGAGTTGCATAAGATACATGAGCATTGTACGTGAATCAGTGCAATACTGGCCCCTTGCACATTTAGAAAATAAGGCGATATAAAACCAGAAGTAACAATGTTAGCTACATTCCCTCATTGAAACACTTCTATCAAAATCCCCCATGTCCACATCAGAGGAAGGAAAGACCAATTCAAAAATTAAATCCAAGGTTGTAATTAGAGAACCTTTTTATCGAGCACTTTGAAAAACTTCTTTTCATACTCCTAAAAATAAAATAAATAATCTATAAGCACAGTATTATTTGAAAAATGGCAGTGATTAATGTAAGCAATAAGAAACATTAGTTTCCTTTTAAAATCCAATTACAAAAATATTTCTTTTGACTTCCTATCTTCTGAAAGGGTGATACACTCTATAAATGTTTCTGACACTTACACAGTATATAATATTGCTGAAATACTGAAAATATATTTGCATATAGATGCCCTCTTAGCTACAGTGCTAATTATTCTCTCAGCAGTGACTGACGCACTAAAATTGTAAGTGACTACTTCAAGCAAGACAATCTTTTTTTAAATCTTATCATATAAAGTTTACCCTGCAAAGTGAAAAATTAACCACCACAATCATGGAGGTGACACATAACTGCACACTATAGCCCTGATTCAGCAAAGCACTTAAATCAATGAAATTATTTGCATGTTTAAAGTTAAGCGCATGCTTAAATGCTTTACTGAATTGGAGCCTCTGAATTTAGGGTCAAATTCTTTAAGATACAGACTGCAACAGGAGCATTCATATTATCAAAACAGAATGCAGT